TTGTTATTCTTCCTGTCTAGTGAGCTTTCTTTTCCTCTGTTAGTTTTAGCCTACGGTTGTAAGCTTAGCTACTTGTTCACATCTCTCTCTCTCTCTTTTTTTACCCCAATTTGCATGCTTGTTGTTGCGTTATCAGCTCTTGAATCCTGTTGCCTATTTGGGCTATGTTTTCTTTTGCATTCTTTCGCTGTATTCCCTTCCTTCTAAATCCTGTTACGCATTTTTTTTTCTCTATGCACCTGGGTTGTTTTTCTCTTGCCTTTCATTCCTTGATGAATTTAGGCCTTCCTCAGCTTGCCTTTGTTTCCATTTTCGTTTTAAGATGATCGTCGAGCCTTTACGCGTCTCTGAGGTCCATAGCTCCCTACCCCATTGGACTTCTGTCATCCAGGTTATTGAGGCTTCTCATCTTAAAACGACCTATGCAGATCATGCATCCAAGATGTATCGCCACTTCGTCTTTGCTGATTCACATGTACTCTTCCTTTTGATTCTTTTATTGTTTTATTATTTTCTCCCCCCTCCGCTGCAGTTAATTTTTTCCCACTACTTTTTGTCTTGTGATGGATAGGGTGTAAAGGTTTCTGCTGTCGCCTTTGATGATAATGTTACTCGCATCGAAGGTTTGCTTGTCCCTTTCAAAAAGTACTGCATTAGTGATGCTGCTGTTGAGGGAATTCCTAGACCTGCTCCACTCGATTTGTATCGCTTCTTTTGGATTATAAACAGCGCTACCCTGATCAAAGAGGTCTTTGAGCCCGAAACGCCGACCCTTCCCCCTTATTTCGATCTTACCCCCTTCACCTGTTTCCAGCATTTTGCTGATAGCCAGATCTCTATAAGTGAGCCATTTCCCCTCAGTTCTTTTATGCTATTTTTTGCATTTTGCCTTTTTTTAGTTCACACTGCTGCTCATTAACTCTTATGGCTTTGCTTTTTGATAGACATGATGGGTGTTGTTTTGTATGCTTTGCCTGTGAAGGAATCGCACTCTGAGGTTCCTTCTGTTGTTTCCAGGGACTATGTTGTTACCGATCAGAGGTTGTTCTCCATACTAATGTTCCTGGTTGTTTTTCTCTTGTCCTTGTACCGATTCGCTTTTAACATTTGCTTTCTATTTTTCCTCCAGTAATATGCCTGTTCTTTTGACATTAATCGGGGAGATTGAGTCTAAAGAAGGAGGATCTATAGTGAATGCAATGAGCTCCATTGAATCGAGACCAGTTATTATTGGTATTAGAGTCAGAGTGAAGACCGACAATTGTAAGTTCCGAATGCTTATGACTACACATGTTAGTTTTCCTTTTTTTGTTCTGTTGCTTATTATCTTTTCCTTTTTGCTTCCTTCCAGATTTATCCCTTTGTACTAAAGCTACTTTCGTTGTTTTGGTTTCCCCCAAAATTCAAGAAGTTGCCCATCTTGAACAATGGTTATCTATTCTTGCTTTTTTACATTTTTTGAAAACCAAAAAAAAAAATCTTTCCCTCTTCTAACTGGTGACCACTTCAGCTTATTATTACTGTTTTCTATTTGTCTCTTTATAGGTACCGTCATAATTGTTCTGAAGTAATGACTTCTGTTTTAGAGAAGAGATACTGTAATCCCCTTCTACTTCTTCCTCCTATTAGTGACACCATGCTGGCCACTATTTCCAGTCTTGCTCCAACAACTCATTTTGTTAGGGACCTTGCCCTTTCGATATTCTTTAACTTTTTTTTAAAGTTTTTTCCTGTTATTGTGAAACCACTTGTTCCGTTTTTCTAGCCTATAAGTTCTGCATGGATTAAGGGCCGAGTTACTGTTGATCGCTTGCATTGGCTATGGAATTTGGCCTGTCCATATTGTTTTGCACCTAACAATTTTATTGAGACTCTAGGAATTTCTTGTGTTGCTTGCCTCAAGGATCTTTATACTTTTCCTAGGTGCACTAATGTTACTTTTTGGTTAGACCTCGCTTCTGTTCGCTTGGAACTAATGAATTTATTTCCTGCCTGGTGCCTCCTTTAACAAGGTTGATGTATCTTTTGTTCTCAGAGCGCGTGTTAAGTTGGATATTGTTGATGCTACTGCTTCCATCAGTGTTTTTGCTTTGGGTTCCCAAGCTGAGAAACTGATAGGCTTTATTGCATACCAGTTGAGCCAATTTGAGTATGAGGTGCGCTTTAGTTTGGTTATTCGTGAATGCTTATCCATTTCACACTATATATGACACGCATATTTTGCTAATCCTTTTTGCCTGTTGCAGGGTGTTAGCCTAAACCTCCGGGTTGCTGATACTCTTGATGGAAAAGAATTGTTATGCTGTGTTAAACGTTCTCCTGAATTCATTAGAGTAACTGGAATTAGGTTTACTGTTGTTACATCTTATTTGGTTGGAGAAGCTGCATCGGTTGGAATGTAAAATGTGCTTAGAGTTTTAGGTTCCTTTGTGCACCTACCTGTGTCTTTGTTTATGATGGCTTTTGTGATGTAATGCTTTGTATCTTTTGCAAGAACCAATTATTCTGTCAAGCGAGCCTTTTGTATTGCCATATCGATTTCGCCTTTTATTTACTCGTGCTTTAAAAATGATTTGAATCTCCCAGGCAAAATTGGCAAACACAATCTGGATTCCTTTGAGCGCAATACTAAAAAAACACTTTCATGAAAATTAGTCAGCTTTAATGTCCATCTATATGTTCCCTAGAGCAGCACAAAAAAAAAATCCGTTCCCTCTGCCAACGATTGTTGACCCAATATAAAAGGAGAATTGTTTGGCCGATTAGACGGGGAAAAATGAATTAAAACAAAACGTTATTATTTTTGTCCTTCATGGAAAAAACCACTAACGCTAAAAAGAAAAACATGCACGCCGGGAGGGGGGTGTGTGTTAGAGCCCGTTGACTTTGTACATGTGCTTTGGATCGAATTTGAAACATGTTTCTATCATAAAACATACCTGCTTCGTTCTTTTTTTTCCCCCTTTTTCCTGATACATCATACAGTGTTTGTCTGCTTTGTAGAGAGGTGTTCGCATATATATTTTTTGCCGCATTAAATGCAATTCAAAAAACTTTCTATTTTCACGTAGCTGCAGGGCCGCTCGCTTGTTGCAGTACAAAAGAGCTTCTGCCCTTTGGAACTTTGCTACTGAGGATTGCTATATTTGTGCTTGGCTACCGTCTGCTGTCATGTTATGGCAGGTGCGTTTGTATTGCTATGTTAGCCTTTATTCTTTTTCCTCCCTCTTATCACATTCAGCACTATCTTCCTTCTATTGTTTCTCCTATCGTTTTCATTTGCTCTCTCTACGAGGACGAAAAACTCTTCCACGCTTGCCTGAGCTGCGCCTCTCTCTGGTGAATATACTCTGTGGTACATACTATCATTTGCGCTAATTCTTTCATTTCCAGTAAGCTAGCATTTTTTTATTTCTTGTTCACATGGAAAGCTTGACTCTTTTTTCCTTTTTTTTCCCTTCTCAGTTGCCGACTTGAAGAAGCCTCTGTGGGTGTTCCTCTACATTCTACTGTTGTTCGTGTTCCTGCTTTACAAGTCTATCAGGTTTTACGTTTGCCTCTGTTGGCTTTTAGGTATATACACTTTCTTATTGGTTCTTTCTACCATCTCATGCTTGCCATGCAGCTCTCCTTGTTTCATACGTTCTTTTGCATGTCTACTTTTTCGAACGTTCCAAACCAGTTTTTCCCCCCTTTGTAGCTGGTTTTATTTGTTTCTGGCAACTTCCTTTCTTGTTTGGAGTATTTTTTGTTATCTATGTTTTTTCCATATGGCTGTGCTTTTAATATTTTTTCCTATTAGCAATACAATGATGGTATATAGCTTGTTCCTAGATTGCTTGTTACTTTTAGCTCCCTTGTCCAGCTATGTTTTTTTTTCCCTTTTTGTAGCTCGACGTCTACTTTTTCCTTTTGCTTTAAGCTAGTTGCCTGATAGACAGTTGGATTTTTTTTGCCTTTGTTATGCCTACATTTTTAGCCTCTTTGATAGTATGTTAAGAGTTAAGAGCAAACTGTCTCTTCCTTCTAGATCCCTGCTCCGGCTATCAACAATCTATTTCTTTTGTTTGCAACTGATGGCCTATTAAGGTCTGACTTTATGGATCATAATACGGCCAGCCGCAAACGTTATGCTAAAATGCCACAGCATTTGAGAGATGAAATGCTACGTCGTAGGAGAGAAAAGTATGCTGAACAGAGAGCGCAATCATCTCCTGTTCATGTTCCTTCACCGATAGTACGTCAGTTGAAAAAATCTAAGCAGAACAGAAAGGGGTATATTTCTAGATTTAGAATGGATGCTAGCGGTGCAATCTTATCCCGTCCAGCGGACCAACTACTTGCTTCTACTGCTATCCAACTATCTACTAATGTATCTGTTCTATCTCAACAATCTATTTCTTCTGTTCCTTCGCCTCAGCCTTCGCTTCTAGCTCCTAGAGGTATACTCTTGCCTCGATAACTATTCTCTCCTCCTGCTGGCCAAACAACTTGGTATACTTTGGCAGTGTATGGATTATGAGTATTCCATTGAATAATTTGTGATTATTCGGTCAAATAGTCTGACCGAATAAGAATAACTCAATTCCGTATGGATAATCAATTTAATGAGAATACAATATAGGATTTGCGTTTGGATAATATATTTTATTCTGCAAGTATTAAATTTTTTCTAAACACCGCTTTTTTGGTTATATCACATTATTCACCTCAAATTGCAACCTCTTTGAATGAAAGTTGATATTATGTGATTTTATTTTGCGGCAACGAAATAGTTCTTCATAAAATTATGATATACCAAATTAAATATAGATTACAGTACTTTCAATACAGAGACGTGGTCTCACACTTGTGAAGCAAACATAAAGGAATTAGGAAACATACAGACATGACATAAACAAGCAAATTTTACAGAATTTAAAATGATGCAGTAGTATTTGGATTAACCTTATTCACATCACACTAGTAGTAATACACAGTAGTCATTCGCTTGTAATCCCTCACTTTCGCCTCACACTCCGATACGCATTCCACATTCCGTTTGCCATTGCATCTCTCATTTCATGCCGTTTATTGACCTCTTCTTGCGAGGCACTTAGGGGTTGAATTTCTGGCATTGGCGGGACCTCACCTTCTCCTTTGATATCCATCTCTTGCTCATAATCATTGAATATGTCATCATCTGGTAATTCGTCCTGTATGAAATTGTAGAGTGCAGCAAGCTAACACCACATTTATTTGTGTACTCATATAAAAATAAGGTACAGGACTACGTAGAATGGTGAATCTCCTTTTAAGCATCCCAAAGCATCTCTCAATTACATTTCTAAGTGATGAGTGACGAGTATTGAAAAGTTGTTTCGGGGAGAAACACCCACACCGACCCTGTGCAGGTTGTCGAGATGTTCCACGATAAGGTGCAAGAAATCCAGGAACATTTCTATTTGCCGAGTCCACAAGGTAGTATTTTCCTACAAAATAAAGTGGAATAAAGGTACAAAATAAGTAAGTACACACTATGATTTCTTTAGTCATTCACTCACATACAGTGGCAAGCACATATTTGGACAAAAATCTATAAAAATATTGTCATGCACCTGGAGGGGGCATCGGAAAATGTGTAAGTCCTGTTAGTGCTCCGTCCAAGACACGTGCATCATGGGCGCTTCCTTCCCAACCAGCATAAATATATAAAAAGCGCATATCAAAATCACAAACGGCTAGTACATTTTGAGTTGCTTGTCCATGCCTATTCGTGTACGCCGCTTGCTGTCCAGGTGGCGGATGTGCTGGAACATGTGTACCATCTAATGCACCTATAGCATTCTTTTACATTTGATAAGCTAGTTAGTTGGTAAGTGCATAATGAAATTTGACACGATCATTGGATATTAATGCACAGCGTGTTGGAACCAAAGGGGTAAGCAATACTTTATACTACTTTACCGTAAATCACTGGGCAAATCTCCGATCAGTGTAAATCTTAGGATGCACTTCGTTCTGTCTTCTTGGACAAATGAAAATTTTTCCCAACTCACAAAGCCCCCGTAACACCTCATGAATGTTCCAACAGATGGTCTCCGGGGAATGTTGGAATCGTTCAGCCAGACACCACATTCGATGATTGTGGCTTAACATAACTAATGTCATGTACACTGCTTCCTCTATGATGACTCTTTTCTGGGGATTTTGCGGTACATATCCCCCACTCACAAGAATGTCACATAAGCGCATGAAGCTATCCATCATTATTCTACAGTTCTCAAGTACTCTTGCAGGATGGCCATTAATCACTTCGTGCACATACGTGCGGCCAGATAGCATGCTATTTCTGCACGATAGAGGCAATATATATCCTGCTAGACGTTTAGCCACAGGGTTGAATAGAATAACCATCGCCCATTGGATGAGTTGCCAGTCGTCGTCATCATCATCAGCATTATTCGAAGACGATCCCCAAGTATTCCAACTGTTATCCATATTTGTATTTTGGCTGCCTATGAAACCTGGTACACCACCTGTCCAAACGAAACTTTAGCTAATATACTGAACGGATGACTCCAAAATCAGCTACAACATCAACAAATTTCATGCAGTAATATACCTATTGCCTGGCTAATATACCTGTTGCTAATAAATTTGTCTAGTTTAGCTAATATTTTTAATAGCTTAGAAATGTAATATACCCTAGCTTAGGTAATATACCTTAGCTAATATTTTTTAATAGTAGAAAAAACCAAAACTGATTGTTATAGTAATATACCTTAGCTAATATTTTTAATAGCTTAGCTAATATACCATTGGGCTAATATTTTTTAATAGTAAAAATAATCAAAATCCTGTTTTTATAGTAATATACCTTAGCAAGATATTTTTAATAGTTTAGGTAATATATCTTAGCTTAGCTAATATACGACTGGGCTAATAGTTTTCAATAGTAAAAATAACCAAAAGTAATTTTTATAGTAAAAGATAGCTTAGCTAATATTTTTAATTGCTTAGCTAATATACCTTGATTGATAGTTTTTAATAGTAAAAATAACCAAAAGTAATTTTTACTATTAAAAGATAGCTTACCTAATATACCTTAGCTAATATTTTTTAAAAGTAAAAATAAGCAAATGTAATTGATATAGTAATATACCTTAGCTAATATTTTTAAGAGCTTACCTAATATACCATTAGGCTAATATTTTTTAATAGTAAAAATAACCACAACTAGTTTTTACAGTAATATACCAAATGTAATAGTTTTAATAGTTTAGCTACTATACCTTAGCGAATATATCAACTCATAATATACCAACAGTTGCATATATATATATATATATGTATATATGTACTACAAGAAAAATTTTGTAGTTAAGACTAGAGGTAGCTTGGTTGGAAGATTTACATTTATACAAACAGTTACTAAAATAACTAACATACTAATGGCAGCAACATACTGGTAGTTCACTAGGAAATTTTTAACAAAGATATGCTCAAAATAAGTATATAATATGGACGGGAATGAGGTAGGAACTTTATATAAAAAATGCAAATTCCCAAAATAAGAGATATAACATTTTAAATGAGAGATATAACCTGGGCTATGGCAAGCGCTAGTTACCGGAGCAATAAGGCTGGGGATGTACCAGAATGCCTATGGCTTCAACACTGCCTCAGTTTCTGAAGTCAGTAGTTCGATATAGGAAGTCTTGTACACACTGCTATGAACTTATGGCTTTATAGAAATTTGACAGCTCTCATGGAAACCAACCAATTTCATCTACCGATTGTAGACATGGTGAAATAGCTGCAGCCACTTGTTCATAAAAAAAAAAGCTGCAGCCAAATAATGCATTGCATGTCCGTAGCTTATTTTTTATTGATAGATCACTGATGCTCGGACAAATAAGCACGCGAAGACAGCAGTGATTTTTACTTAAAGGGGCCATTGAATATGTTAAAGGCGTGTCCGAATATCCCGTGAACTACTGTGTTACCCATGTGCCGTTTCCTGCAAATAAGCTATCGGCCAAGCACCGCAATATCCCCCAGCAATCAAAAGAAGTAAAAGAATCTAGCATAGTAGTAGTCCATGTGAAATGCTGCCGCATGTTCAGGCGTGGGCCTGTAGTATTTGAATGAGAGAAGTAGTGTCATATGCTATTTGAAAAAAGAGTAGTCAGTTAGTGGGTGTCAGTAAGGCACCATTGTAGTCAGATTGAAATGAAATCCCGGCTGGAATCTATCTTTTGTAAATGTACAAACTTTATACATACAGCTGCGTAGAGATGTTAAGGCATAGGAACTTTATATTTATAAATATTGGTCATATATATATACATATATACAAATGCTTGCTTTTGATTCACAACAATAAGAAATGAACCAGAACGTGAGAGTTGTACTAAAGCCAGCATTTAAACAACCACAAGAGTAGCCAGCATTTAAATAACCACTAAAGCCAGCATTAATCAATTGGCCAATAAACCAATGCCAATCAACTAAGGGGCCATCCAGACTCCATGTGCATAAAGAAACTATCTAACATTTTTAATAGCTAATATAATTGAAGAAAATTCCATATAAATGAAGAAAGTGAAGACAAATAGGCATTCAAAGCTAAGCAATCCAGAATGTTCATAAGCAGCAGGAAAGTTAGAGTCTCAAATACAGACCTAATCCAAGTCTAAGTCAATTGTCAAGCAAAGTACATATAATATCCGCAAGACTGGGAATTTTTAGTCATAGACAAGCAATCCAAAATTGGTCCTCCAAGACACAGTTATAGAACCCAGCCAAATTTCCATCTGATGTCCAGTAAGGCACCATAAACGAAACTCCAGTTATAGTTGCCTATGCAGCAACTATTTCGGATCAAGAATGGTATCAGCATACCAATACTGGAAGCCTTCATCCGACTGGAGAAACATGTGGCACCACCTCTCGAAATTTTCAAACTCTTTCATGGAAGCAAGACGTTTCCGGGACCACAGTTCAACGGGCTCATGTCTTGGGTAGCATTTGTCCCAAACTTTTAGCACCGCTACGCACCAGTCATTTCGTCTAGTGTTTTCCTCAATTTTGATCTGAGACAGCTTGTCGATGTTCATTGTTGCGTCTCGTAGAGCTTCCCCAGTCTTCTGAGACTTAGTGCTCCTTGAACCATCGTAGGATGATGTCCCCCGACTCGATACTGGGCGTTTACCCGGCCTACTAGCAACGAATTCGACTTCTTCATTCCGCACTGGAATGTAAACATCATCCCCCCAAAAGTCTGAGGTTGGTCCGTCAACCTTTGCCTTCCCCTTACGCCTTGATGCAGCCGCGGTGGTCTTTTCGGCAGAATAAGGAGAGTGGTGGACATCACTCTGAGCAGACGAATAGGCATGCTTTCCGGTGGCTGTTCGGCTCTCTAGAATTTCTCCCAATTCATAGAAGCAACTGCAGCTGCGGCCTTTTTTGAACCTCCCATAGAATTTATTTTCTTGCAATCCATGTGAAATGCCAACTAGTTCAACTGGACAAGCTGATACAGTTTATATAAAAAGCATTCTTGTTGTGTACTACTAAGCTGTTATTTCAAATAAAGAGATTACACATCACTAGGCCAGCAATCAACCGTGATAAGGCCAGAAATGAAAGACATATACCTATAGCGTTACACAGCAGTCAATCCAAGCCAGTAGTATCAGATACGTAGGCCAACAATGAAGCATAAGTCGGCCACAATTAAACTACACAGACCAGGCCAATGATCACCTTAAATTATTACTGTACCAACCTAATCAATGCATAGGAATTTGTCCCCCCTCTCAATTATATTTAGGGGGCAATAGTACTCTACAAAATTAATAAAGCAGCCTCCAAACATAGGGGGGAAGCCTTAAAGTGCACATCAATGCTACCAACCTAGTGCGGCAGCAATGAAGGTCTTAAAACACTAGACCAAATATTACATAAGTCAAAGTTTCAACGACCCTGAAGCAGTGAGGGCTCAATATTCCATAATATATCACATAAACACACAGGGAAACATATCTATTGAAGCCTAAGAGCATTTTGAGATACAATTAATAGAGACATAGAAGAAGTTTACCCGCTTTAGAGCGCTCCATTTTTCCTTCGTAGCCTGAAAGCATAGAAGCTCTGAATTAAACCCAACTCCCGTCTCAGCCGTGGTTTGGAACATCCCTGATAAACGAACGAAACACTTCCACTCGGATTCCAACCTATAGAATTTTGAACGGTAGTGTTCCCACCTCAAATTGACGTGGCACTTGTCGTTCATGTGTAGGCTAAGATGGTGCTAGTTTGACCTGCTCTTTTGGTGCTTGCCCAAGCACCATTCTTGTGCCACTCTACAAGTGTTGCAACGAAAGTTGACTCAAGCGTAGGGTGATTTTTCCAATCGGCCACTTCAGATTCATCATTCATCTACTGCAATAAACCAGAATAATCCATAGTAAATAACATTTAGATTGTACAAGGAAACACATAATAGAGACAAGTGGGTGCTGGTACTTCAAAGTAGGAACCGCTTGCATACCTTTACGAAATAGTTTCTCGCACAAGCAGCCAAATCGTTTGAACCGCTCTCAGAATGTGCTTGCTGGACTGCATGAAAGTGAAATATATGCAATGGTAGTAAATTTGGTTCCATTAATGAAGACAAATAGGCATTCAAAGCTGTCAGCAAGCCCAAGTGCACAATTTTTGGGTGAACATATTATGAGATCATTAACGAATGGATAGAAACTGAAACCAAAATTACACGTCGAGGAAGGTCTTACCATTGCTCTTACGTACTCGACGGCGCTTATGTGGGGCATATAAACCAAGATACAACGAAAAATGGCAGAACTTAAGAGCCACACACCAACTGGCTGCTTTAAAAAAAAAGGGCAGCAAAAATGAGAATTTGGTGACGAATGATTCGTAGTAAAACCTTTAACATACTAGCAAGCCTATTATGATGCCTTTAATTGGACAGAGACAGCAGACTCTACATCGGGGATTGCATAGAAAGGTAAAAATCAAGAAACTTAGGATCCAAAATGCAACTACGTGGATTAACCTGGGCAATAACCCTTTGCGTCAACTGCACTTGGGATGCTCTAGTAATGACACTTCACTTATGTTTAGGAGCTGAATCAGATGTTTTTATTGTTTCACCTCAAATTTTTTGGACCTTTGAGCAGGTGTACTATGCCTCGTATTATGCATCTGCCACTGCAGTTGTTTTCATTCTAAAATCATGACTCCTATAAATTCTTTGATATTTAGTATGTGGTCTTTTCTAGTGATTCCTTGAACTTTTCTTGTCAGTAAATTTATTCTGTCTTTTAAAATGGACAGATTCCATTCATCTAGTTGGTTGTGCAGTTATTTTTTTATTGGTAAAATACTACTTTACTCATCCATACTTGGAAAATTTTTCCAATTCATATTGAGTTAAGAACTAGCTGGATATAGAAAGCTCAGAAGTACAC